TTTTTTTTTTTTTTTTTTTTTTCTTGATTAGCGAACTTTCGAACAACAGGAATCAACCGAAGCGGAGAACTCGAAGAAGAGCACAGGACTTGGAGGAAGAGGAGAGACGGAATTAATTGCAGAATTTTGATCTCAACGTTTCAGAACGAAATGATGATCCTATGCAGCTCTCGAACAGCAACAATTTGAACTTCGGCTGGAGTCATCAAACATCTGCGAAATTGTCACGGTTGTTTGTTTCGCTCGCGAGCGAAACTCACCCCGTCTAAAACATAGACACGAGTTCACAATAGAAGTTGCAACATACACGAGCGTATCTATCTCGAACATCTCGCGTTGCCTCGCGTCATTCTCAAAGTTCTATTAGTACCGTACAGGATCGATACGAATGAAACAAGTAAGGGGTGAGCTTGTCGGAATTTCTTTGAGAAAAAAAAAAAAAGAAAAAAATTGCCGAGTACAAAACAAAGCTCTCGCTTTTATACTTGTCTGGACATCTTTTCGAAATTCGCATTTGTCGAAACGAAACCTTTTGGTTTGTATCTCAGTTAAGACTAGCCTTCGAGTATTTTTCTAACTTGCCGCCAAATCTGATCTACAGACGCAAGCGACGATTAGGCGAATCAGCTCGTTTCGACTCGGGCTGTGTGTTGAGAAACACGCGCAAAAATATCGACGTTGAGCGACATTGTCTGGAAATCATTTTGCGTAAAAGTAACACACGCAATCAGCAGGTACGCCGCGTACAACTAAATCCTTCGAACCATCTCGAACCTCGTGCAGATTAAAAGGAAGACTTGCGTTACTCCTCTTGAGGACGATTTATATAATCAATTTAATGGATAACTGCCGTCTCGCGACGAATACAAATGTTTTTTTTCTTTTTTTCGGCTCGTCACTCGTGACGCGTAATAACTACAATGAAATCTGCCAGCAGAGTAGGATGATATACAATATGATATACAATTTGTACACGCACGTATACGGTGATGTAATATATAGAATACAATATAACGCGATGTCGTAATGTATCTGGCTCGAAGAGTATTCTATAAAAATACTTTTCGGTAGGGGGTAATCGATGATAAAGGGATGGGTTTGCTATAATATACTTGTCGCCACTGCCGCGTGAAAGAATTACTTTAATCCTTAAAAATACAGGTAATACAGGTGAAATTTCGTCCTGTATTAACACATCCTTTTGACGTTATCGTCTCGTGATAAATGTTATTTACGAGTAGATTGCAGATTTCTGCGTATTTACAAGAAATCTGAACGTGCAAAATATGACGTTTCGTATAACGCTTAGGTAAAATAATTTTCTACCAAGGTTTAATTTTTGCAGCTTCAGAATGAATTATGAGAGTGCATAAATTAGCAAAATGCAACATAACGCGTAAAGTATCTAAACTAGACAACAAATTCCTATTTGCATTTTTACATCGTACATTCTGCTAATGAAAATTCTCAAAAAATATGAATTTCAACAAAGATAAAAGTCCACTCTCCACTTATAACCATTGCAAGCAAGCTTTCTTTATCTTTCGCCTAATATTGAACAAATAATAATTTTTGTTGCTGCCTTTGTGAAATTTTGGACTACAGAAGGGTGAGATGAAACAGGATGAAATTTCCGCCGTGACCTGCATCGAAAATAGCTTTCAAGGGTTAAAGATGTTCCATGCTCTAGGATTCGATCGAATAAGACTTCTTGCATCGTGCGATCTGCAAAACGGAATTAACGCGTCTTCCCCCGAGTAGGGGGAAAGGTCGGGATATTTATTGCCACGAGGAGCTACGGCGGGACAAGTACGCAAGTTATTGGGGAGGGAGGGAAAAAAAAAAGCGTGCAGACGATCAGAGACCCCGCGAGACTGCGAATGATCTGTATTAATAAGAGAGGTACCCTATTACAGCGCGCGTGACGAATGTGTGCGTTTAAGTGTCGCCTTGCGAATCGAAAAATACTCCCAATCGCGAGCCACTCTTTTGTCCCGTTTGTGTCCACTCGCGTCAATCAATGTAGCGTCAATCCCGAGGTCTCTGATTCGGCAATCACTTCTCGGGAAAGAGGTATATACAGAGATATTGACGATTCCTTGTACTTGTGTTCAACGTGTTTACTCTTAACGATAATTTTCTCTTTAAAAACGGGGGAAGGGGAATGAAAGAAATTGGAGATAATAACTCATGGGGTGCATGTGAAATTTCGTGCATGTCGTAAATCCAAATGAACCGGTCCATTCGTCGCAATCTTTCAAGGAAAATATCGTACGATTTGTACGTTAAGTTAAAAGGGGGGGGGGAGGGGAGAAACGATTCTGAACGTTTGCGAAATAATTGGAACAAAATGTGCAATGTGATATCTAGACGAGTGATGAACTTAAAAGAAGATCGACGATGTCTAAGATAAACAGCACCTTTCTCGTAATTCCTGCGTCACAAAACACTTCGTTTCTCTAACAATTCACCCTCTCTCTGCTGTTCTTTCTCTCTCTTTCTCTCTCTCTCTCTCTCCCTTTCTTTCAAGCATCTCTCTACGAATCTATCTCCTCGCGGACACACGTGGCAAAACGTAGGCCTTCTCTCGAGGTAAATCTCGAATAACTTCCTTTAATAAAATCGTTAAAGATATTGTCTTCGGGACGTTATACATTACTATATTTTGTGTCGATTTATCGAGCTCTTTTTTTTTTCTTTTTCTTTATGTTTTAACTGTCGAAGCGTTTTGTCTTTATGTTTGCATGTTAGAGTTTCCTTTATATTCTTCATTCGCAAGTTTGCATAGTCCGCAGCTTTTTCAATTATCATACATTGTGCGTAGCTTTGCGTCACGCTGGTGTCACACGGCTGTCAACGTAAACTTCATCCTTCTACCGTTAAACGAAAAGAATAATTCTGAATCAAAGTACCGCAATTTGACAAGGTTTGTGAAAGAAATGAAAATAATAATTATAAGCTCGAGGAAAGAATACATTAAGAAACAAAGAGTCAGATGATGCACAAGTAATTTAACACTTTCAAACACTAAGTGCACAACGATAGATATAATTATATAATGATTGTTAGACATTAATTTATCTCAGAATATTAACTTCCATCGACAGTAGAAGAAAATTGAAGAGCCAAAAGATATGAAGAATGTCAGACAAATTAATAAGTAAATTCTGGACTTTTATGCATTTATGAAATCACGACTGAAGAAACCTAAATTTTATATATCACTTGTTAAATAATAAAATTTATGTCATTTACTAAATATATTCTACTTTCAATATTTCATATATTTTTGCACATTTTATACAACGTATGCATTTTCTCATCTTCATCCGCAAATGCACAAAAGTCCGCAATGTCTGTGCCAATAGTCGAAGAAATCAAAAATATTTCTAGTTCCGTTTTCACGATGTTAACTTTCCCGCCCTAAGACAGAAGCGTGAGGCAGCCAAAAAGGACGATCGCATAACTGGGTAAGTACGTTCGTTTCTCCGGACATTTAACCCTTCTCTCTTCTAGTTCTCTCTTCAAGTTTTATTACACAATTTCGTCACTTACCCATTCAAACGATCGAGCCGTCCAACGCAATGTAACTATATATGCGTGTCGCCTAACTAAACAACAGAATTTATTGTCTATCTCTATCTGTGTAAGTATGTCGTGTAAGTACGTTTGTGAAATCACCGCTTCGTGTGACCAACATTACCAACGATAATAATAGTAATATTTTCGCATTCCATCCGTTGACGCCTCATTTAAGGATAAAACGAATCACTTTGTAAAACACGATTCTAAGAGCTCCTCTTTACTCATCTTTATCCCGTAATCATCTCCCGTAAATCACATCTGCCTGAATGTTTCATTTTATGTACACGCGCTTCTTATATATTTTTCTTCTCTCTCTTTCTTTTTATACCGCGCTTCGACCAACCAACCTATATTTTTCTTGCTTTCTCTTGCTCTCTTTCATTCCTCATTTCTCTCACTCATTCTCA